TACTAACTTCCAAAAAGTAATAGAAAATTAATTTAAATAAAAAGTTAAGCTAAACTTTCTAATTTCGGTCGCCTCTCGCAGTGTAATTCTGACATGAAATAAAGCTTCTCGTAAAAAGCCATCAGCCGTTCGGAGGCAGCTTAGTATAAACTCTATGTCCCTCCATTTGTTGGAAAAAAATCAAGACGCAAAACCGCAAATCGCAAGAGGAGCTTGGCCGAAAAATGCTTCAGCATTCGATTGAGTAGGTTACGATGTATAGGTTAAGTATTGAAAGTGGGCACGGCGTGGCAGTGCTTGCAATTTTTGTTAAACAATTTTTTTTTCATATAAATTTTACATACCTACTAAGTTATTTGGGCGTAGACAGCAACCGATTGCGTCTTTTTTCAGTAGTAATCTCCCTGAAACCCAAGCAATATTTTGAAAATATATTTAAAATATCTTAGTAATAGCTCAATACAGACGCAGCCCGAACTTATCATTCGTTTCATTGGTTGCGTCTCTTAGTGACTGTGCTTGAACCGTGGTAAAGTTACATTCATAAGAAAACCGAATCAGTTCCAAAACACTAAAACTCTGCTCCTGCTGAGTTGACATCTGCAAACACCGCGGCTCACCTACCTATCAATAGATATCTTTTCAGCTGAGCACTTTAACTTTATACTAGTAACTTCTGTCTCTCAAATAAAAAGATGTTCTCCTGTCAACCAGGCGGCGAAATTAGGTATGGCAGTAGAAAACTGCGAAAACTCTGTCATCAGGAATGTTTTTTTTTTTTTGACCTAAAATCATCGACTTTTGATTCCCATTGGGAAAATCCCTCCGGTTAATCATTTTAACTTGACCATAATAAAATAATTGAAGCAAAATCGGCCCTCCCGAGACAACACAATCCATAAGGCCTTGAGTTAACAGAAGAATACATAAATACTGCGACCGAGAGGCCAGATCACTGCATCATTATATCCGGTAAAGATTGCAATTAGGTTAAGTTAGGTTACACTAGCTGTCCGTCGTGTCTTGCCTAGACCCGTTGGTCCTTTGTAGAACCGTAGATTTCAATTCATACATTTAGAATTAGTCAGGCGCAGTGTTTTTTTTTTGCAGAATAAAATTTTTAACGATTTTTTGCTTATCATCAGCACACTGTTACTGTTGCTGCTCACCATTTACGTCGAAAGACATTGACGAAGACCAACTACTGATTACGGTCACCTCCGTTAACGTCAGCGCATGGCCTTACATTTTTCATATATAAATTTGTTTGCCGTCTACCACTTAATTTTGACAACAGTGAGGAATTGACGAATATTTTTGTGACTTTTCTGCTATATCTTCGCTCTCTCTCTCTCTCTGTTTCTCTCTCACACACACACACACACACCTGATATAAGAAAAAATTACATATCAACAAACTGGTTAGATACACTTAACCATGTAAACGAATATTTTTTAATTTTTTATTTTTATTTTTTGCTTTTACCAAATTCTTTTTGAATTTACACCTTCGCGACAACGCACAGTGGGGTAAATACAGCTCGAAGAGAATAAGCAGTTATTTTTTAGTTAATTAATTATAAAGAAGTAAGAATAATAATGCAATGAGAGTTATTTTAATGATTCTTTTTTTTTTAAATCATAAAAAAATATGGTGAATATCGGTTTTCCGCAATTTTTATTTATTTTAAATTTTTATTTAAAATATATAAACTGCTTATTCACCACCATAATCATATTCATGATCATAATCATCTTTGCTTGAATTGCCATCATCGCCTTCATTATCATCATCATCAACTTCATTATTACTACTGCCATTCTCCATCACGTTCATCTCTAAGGTTTCTTGCGGTAAATCCTGCACTTTTTTTGTGGTAATTTTACGGGTTCAGCACTGATTAAAAGTCGGTCGAATATGTCTTCATTTGTTTTTTTCCACTGCATTTGCGTGAAAAATGTTCTCTAAAAATCTTAAAATCTTTCTTTTGAGCTTCTTGAGCTTCTTCTGATAATTGTCCGATTGGCAACAGGGCCTATGATATTATCTCTGGTAAATGGTTAAAATGTTTGTGAAGTGTTGGAGATATGTTTTATGAAGGATAAAATTCAACGAAATATTTTTCTGTATTTAAAGCGTAATCACGAAACTTCTGTACATCAATATGGTGCCCACTAGAAACAACAACGAGTATTGTATGATCTTTTTAATCCAATCGAAGAACCAAATTGTAAGTCATCCATTTTATTAAAATCTTTCGAGCTTGGGTGTTGGCGGTTTTCTAGAGAGGGCTCTACTAGTATGATTTCGTAGTGTTTATCTGTGGCTATATTCATTTCAAAGGTACTACCATTTCAAAGGTACTATCATTTCGCTTCATTTTCTGTAGATGTCTTTTGTTTTAGCGTGAACAACAATTTGTTTCATTCATTTGAAAATGTCGAAATTTGTACCAGATAAAGTNACCCCAGGTGCTGCCGGCTAGCGCTTTGAGTATTTTGTTGCGGCTCTGGTGTTCGCAGCAATTTCGGTCGTATGCGGAGTGAAGGAGTGCAGGCTGTCTAGGGTTACTCCCAATATTTTTGGGTTATTTACCGTCGGAATTTGTGTGTCATCGACCTTCACATCTAGTTCAAGTCTGTACTCCTTCGTCCAGCTGGTGAAGAAGGTAGCCGAGGATTTCTTCGGTTAGCTCAACATACTCGTAAGTGGCCCTTTTGTGTAGATGTTGTTTCTCCTTCTTAATGCGTTGCCTACTGCTCCATCAACCATAGATAAAATGATATTGTTTTTAACTTTCAAATATTTATTTACATAAGGTAGAACCGAATTAACGGTTAACCCATTTTGCTTCACCTCGCTTTACTCACAACTTGTTTAATGCTGAGTGGGGTGTAGGATATCGGGCGTTGCCAAAGGGTAGAATAAATCTAGGTCCTTTTTTATAAATAGTATAAATTCCGGTTTTAATTCAAATGATTAGGTTACAGTATGTAAGATTGGAAAAAAATTGATATTATTTAAAGTTAATATTTGTTGTACAGGTTTTAAGGCACGAATTGCCTTAGTGTCTTTGGGGCCATTTAATTGTTATAAGATTACAACCAGAGGTTGGTTTCTTAAAGATTATTTAAAGTGAAAGGATATACAATAAATATATTGTTTAAAAATTCAAAATGCCGATTAGCGATACGTGAGTTGCGAGGTCGATTTGTTCGGTGTTGAAAAACGATTGATTCATTGTGGCGGCTGTTGGCTAGAGTGTGCCCCAAAAATAACCGAACTTTTTGGGTATAAAATAAAATACACATTATATTATCTTCGAAAGTTATTATTTATTCAAAATAGGTTCCATTTGACTCAACACAACGTTTGGAACGATGAACCAGCACATTCGTAGATTTTTTTATGTCACTTATAGAAATGTTCTTCAGTACCTCGGTTACGGCTGATTGAATGGCTGGGATATCATCATAAAATGCTCTCTTCATCTTGGTTTTCAGTTTTGGAACTAAAAAAAATAGTCAATGGTGGTAGATCAGGCGAATACGGAGGATGGTCGATGAGAGAAATTCGAGCGATTTTTTGGTCGTCATTTAATTCATGTGAAAAAAATCGCGCACAGACCTTTCTTTTCCCCAAATCTTCAGTTGGAATTCTCCAAATAGTGTTTTTACTCGTATTCAATTCCTCAGCCAACATTCTCGTAGTAAAATTTGCATCGATACCAATGATTTCACGGACTTTTTCCACCAGTTCAGCACGATTACTACTTTCTGGACGTCCTGCTCTAGGGTCGTCATTTAAATCCTCACGACCATTTTTCTATCGTGTAAACCACGTATAAACATGCGTACGACTCATACAATCATCATAATAAACTTTTTTCATTAGTTTTTTTTTTCAAGTTTGACACAAAATTTTATATTTGCTCTTTGTTCTATTATATTTTTGGAACCATTAGCACACTTTTGGTTTTATTGAAATGGCTGTCACTTTTACATCTGTCATCCGACTTACATGGTGTTAGGTGCGTTTGAAAGAGGATGAATGTATATTTTTAATGTTGCAAATTCTCAATAGATGGCGCTGTATGTTTTATGATTTAAATATAAAGTTTGATTATTTTTGGGACACACTGTACTTTAACAAGTTTGTTAGTAAAAGTAAGTGTTGCGGGTGCAGAAGGATTGCAACATTGGGCAGCCCAGTATTTCTCTCCGGTAAGCACATCGCGGCGTTGCCATCAGTGGAGGATTAATCCGAAAACGTAAGGGGGTCCATATCCTGAACACAACTATATATCTAAATGTAAGGTCGAAACTACCAATTTTAAGGCTTTCCAGCAAAAAAAAATTTAAATACTAAGAGACACGTAAAACAAAAAAAAAATCATTTTTAATTTATTAAATCATCTAAAAAAGAAGGCTTCATTACAATTTTTGTTAGATTTTCCCAGTTAAAATAAAAATAATAAATAACTTCGAAAAATTACAAAAAAAAAAAATCACGTATTTATATCACTGTGTGCACGCAAATAGAAATAAACTTGCAATTTTCAGAGAATATTGGCAGAAAACTGTACAGTTTTTGCCAAATATACAAGAAAAAAATTACTTGTATCTTAAAATTTGATTTCTAAATTTATCGCCAAAATCGACACATTTTACCCCATTGTGCGACGTCTAAGCAGCGCCTGCGATGAGCGCATCTCGCGACCACAGACGATTTTCAGTAATTCTGTCAGCAAATATTTACAGACACACACACATACACGCACACTCTTCTCTATATTTTCGTCTGCATTTGATTTGGCTCAGTCGGAACGTCTTGTTTACACTTGCATTTTCAGTTTCACTTTTGGCCCTTTCGACTACAACCACATCAATTGGGGCTGTCATTGCGTAGTCGTATTGTAGTTGTTTAGTGCTGTTACTTAGAAATTTAAGTTAAGATATTCACTGACTATGCATAAACATCATCTGTCTTTCGGTTTTAGGCCAAGTATGTCGCGTGGCACTGGTCTGGGGCAAGATCGATATCAGGATCGAGATTTTCACATCGCCACACCCGAGGAGTTTGTCAAGAAGTTTGGTGGTACTCGTGTTATTAATCGTGTGTTAATTGCGAATAACGGTATCGCTGCTGTGAAATGTATGCGTTCCATACGTCGCTGGTCCTATGAGATGTTCAAAAATGAACGTGCTGTCCGTTTTGTTGTGATGGTCACACCCGAGGATTTGAAGGCCAATGCGGAATACATTAAGATGGCCGATCATTATGTACCAGTGCCTGGAGGTTCGAATAACAACAACTATGCCAATGTTGAACTGATCGTTGATATTGCACTACGGACTCAAGTTCAGGTGAGTGAAGGCACTTGAATCTAAACGAAAAACAAAAAACGAAAAACATTATTTATTTACATTTTATAAAATCGTATGATCGTTTATCTTGTGCGGTCATATTCGTACATATGTATGTACATATGTAGATTTTTCACGGTTATTCGCAACGAAAACAAACTAAACGATGAAAAAGTGAAAAATTTCATTACAAAAACCTGAAACTTAAAGCTACGATTTACATATGTACATATCCACTGTCCGCTCGCTGCGCATAACCAACCGGATTTCATTGTAAGCAGTGAGAAGCGTGAATTAAGCAGTGTTTTTGTTTATTCTATTGAGTAACGTCGTTCAGTCGCTCTTTCAGTTCATTGTAAAACAGTGCGTTGCGATCACTTAAATAAACATACATATATACATATATACATACATACATACATTCTAATTGCATATGTTTTTGTTTCTCTTCCGTTTAGGCCGTCTGGGCTGGTTGGGGTCATGCTTCTGAGAATCCGAAATTGCCTGAGCTCTTGCATAAAGAGGGTCTTGTCTTCTTGGGTCCTCCCGATCGTGCTATGTGGGCGCTGGGTGACAAAGTTGCTTCATCGATTGTCGCACAGACCGCGGACATACCCACACTGGCTTGGTCGGGTTCCGAGTTGAAGGCGCACTACAATGGCAAGAAAATTAAGATTTCAAGTGAATTGTTTCAACGCGGTTGTGTCAGCAATGCCGAAGAGGGTCTAACTGCAGCCAAAAAGATTGGTAAGATATTATTTGTATGTATTGTACGTATGTAACACAATTTTTTATAAAAGTACAAAATACGTTCGGCCCAAGTTATATATGTGAAAAGAAGTACCTTATGGATATCAAATTTCTCCAGTGGGTTATTGTTGTTGTTGTAGCGGCTTTTACAACCACACTTAGAGGCAGGCTAGTTAGTCTAAGTCACCGCGGTCATCTAATGGGAGTTTCTCGAAACGAGCTGTTTCGACGGGTACGAACCAGAGGAAGAGGGGGGTTGGATATGTCGGTTTCATATATATACTATATAATTGGCGCTTTGTAATCGCTGAAGCTATTTTTGGCCGAGCTCTTCCTCCAATTTGTGGTGTTCCGTCTTGATGTTTTTCCAACAAATAGAGGAACGTGCAGTTTATACTAAGCCGCCTCCGAACAACTGATGGTTTTTTATAAGGAGCTTCGATTTCATTTCAGAAATACACTCGGATGGATGGACATTTTCTGCCGAGGCTCGACCGCCATTAGAAACTTAACTTAATTTTTTACATAAATTAATTCTCTATACATTTTTGGATGTTAGTACGACGAGTCTTCCGAATGGCAGTACGCAATGCTAACCACTCGGCTACCGCGGCCGCCTTACTTTATATTTTCCAATACCCACAGAACCGTACCATAGACTGCAGGCGGTTATCTAGCACTAAAGCATCCTTCTAAGCTACTAGGAATTGAGAAGCATAAATTAATACCATTTTTTTGGACCGTGAAATAAGCTTTTTTTCCTTCAATTAATTTACTTATACCCTGGTGGGTGAGGGCGGCCAGCGCAAGGTGACTCTTGTAGACGGGCGTCGTTAACTTTTCGCCATCTTCTCTCTTTAATTGCTTCTTGGAAGGTGATATGCCCTTTTTACGCTCCTCAATGGAATTCTGAATACACCATCCACCTTTCGTTACAGACGTCCCAAGCATGTACATGAACACTTCACGCGTTCTTGTTTTTGCAGAGACGTGAGAGTTCACGGCACCCATCTGCACTGCGCTAAGCCAAGATGATCGAGCAAGATTTTAAAATTGTTTGTATGGAATAGTGAGCTTAATCATCCCCTTATAACCCTCACATTCCGCAAACATAAAAACTCTCTCGTAGGCAAAGAGAGTTTCATGGCTAGATTTTTACTTAAACATAAAAATCCGTTTATAGTGTCCGTACTTTTCTCATTAAACACAATTACTCAGTTTGATTTAAACAAAAAGTTCACCATCCATAGCATAGAAGATTTTCGTGCATCGGCTATAACCTAGAAATTCGCGTTATAGAAGCCTGAGAGTGTATTTATTGAAGAGCTGCGAACGATAAACAATTACTTCACAAGAAAGAGCTACTCTCTTCGAGCTTCGAAAAATCCAAAAATGTCAATTATTTTCTTCCTCCAGAAACTTCCCCACCCGCTCTTAAGAGTAGAGAAGTTACTCTTTTCGAAAAAAATTTGAAAACGCGGTGTTGCGTAAGATTTAGAAAGAAGATTCGTCTTAAGCCATTCTCGTGTATATATAAGTCCCTCTTTGAATTTCAACCCAAAGTTCAGCTCATCTGTCTTTTATAGTTTCACTTTTTTTAAATAATTCATTTAAATATTAAATATTTTTTATTTATATTTAATCTCACCTCTCTCCTCTTTCCGCATTTCCACAGGTTTCCCCGTCATGGTTAAAGCATCCGAAGGTGGTGGCGGTAAAGGTATTCGTCGTGTTGATACCGAAACCGAGTTCCCTGCACTCTTCCGTCAAGTACAATCCGAAGTGCCCGGTTCACCCATATTCGTCATGAAGTTAGCACGTGGCGCACGCCATCTTGAAGTCCAACTGCTTGCGGATCAATACGGTAATGCGATAAGTTTGTTCGGACGTGATTGTTCCATACAACGTCGTCACCAAAAGATCATAGAAGAAGCGCCGGCAATTGTTGCCAAGCCCGAAGTGTTTGAGGATATGGAGAAATCCGCTGTACGTTTAGCGAAAATGGTTGGCTACGTGAGTGCCGGTACTGTGGAATACTTGTACGATTCAGATGGCCAATATTATTTCCTCGAGCTGAATCCACGTTTGCAAGTGGAGCATCCTTGTACAGAAATGGTGGCTGATGTAAATTTGCCCGCTTGCCAATTGCAAATCGGTATGGGTGTGCCGCTGTATCGTTTGAAGGACATACGTTTGCTGTATGGTGAATCGCCTTGGGGTTCATCGGTGATTGATTTTGAGAATCCCGTAAATAAACCGCAGCCATCGGGTCATGTAATCGCCGCACGTATTACATCGGAAAATCCTGATGAAGGTTTCAAGCCCAGTTCGGGTACGGTGCAGGAATTGAATTTCCGTTCTAGTAAAAATGTATGGGGTTACTTCAGTGTTGCCGCTTCGGGTGGTTTGCACGAATATGCCGACTCGCAGTTTGGTCATTGTTTCTCTTGGGGCGAGAATCGTCAACAAGCACGTGAAAATCTTGTTATTGCACTGAAGGAGCTTTCAATTCGTGGTGATTTCCGTACAACTGTGGAATATCTCATAACATTGCTGGAGACTAACAGCTTCTTAGACAACACCATTGATACCGCATGGTTGGATGCTTTGATCGCCGAACGTGTACAATCGGAAAAACCCGATATACTGCTGGGTGTCGTCTGCGGAGCTTTGCACATTGCCGATCGCCAAATTAACGAAGCATTCTCAAGCTTTAAGACATCACTTGAAAAGGGTCAAATTCAAGCAGCCAATACACTGACAAATGTTGTCGATGTGGAGTTGATTAACGAGGGGCTGCGCTACAAGGTGCAGGCCGCCAAAAGTGGCGCTAACTCTTATTTCCTATTAATGAATAACTCCTACAAAGAGGTGGATATACATCGTTTGTCCGATGGTGGTCTTTTGATTTCATTGGAAGGTGCCTCATACACCACATACATGAAAGAGGAAGTCGATCGGTATCGTCTGGTTATTGGCAATCAAACTTGTGTTTTCGAAAAGGAAAACGATCCCTCGCTCTTGCGCAGTCCATCTGCCGGCAAGTTGATAAATCTCTTGATTGAGGATGGCGCACACGTTGCCAAGGGTCAAGCTTACGCGGAAATTGAGGTAATGAAAATGGTCATGACGCTAACCTCGCAAGAAGCGGGTACTGTATCGTTTCTACGTCGGCCTGGCGCAGTGTTGGATGCCGGTTCACTGCTCGGTCATTTAGAGTTAGATGATCCATCGCTTGTTACGAAAGCGCAACCTTTTAAGAATCCCTTTCCACAATCTGACAATTCGCCAGTGCCTGAGAAACTCAACCGTGCGCACAATCTGTATAAATCAATTTTGGAAAACACTTTGGCCGGCTACTGCCTACCCGAGCCGTACAACGCCCAACGTCTACGTGATGTTATCGAGAAATTCATGGCCAGTTTGCGCGATGCTTCATTGCCCTTGCTCGAATTACAAGAGGTCATCGCCTCCATATCAGGCCGCATACCTGTGTCTGTGGAGAAGAAGATACGTAAGTTAATGACTCTGTATGAGCGCAACATCACCAGTGTGCTAGCGCAATTCCCTTCACAGCAAATTGCCGCTGTAATCGATAGTCATGCGGCCACGTTGCAGAAACGCACCGACCGGGACGTGTTCTTCCTCACCACACAGGGCATTGTGCAGTTAGTGCAACGCTATCGCAACGGCATAAGAGGACGCATGAAGGCCGTCGTGCACGAATTGTTGCGCCAATACTATGACGTCGAGTCGCAGTTCCAACATGGTCACTATGATAAGTGTGTAGCTTTGGTGCGCGAAAACAGCAAGGACGATATGCAGAAGGTGTCCAACACAATCTTCTCACATGCACAAGTGTCGAAGAAAAATTTACTGGTGACTTTACTCATCGACCATTTGTGGTCATTTGAACCGGGTCTAACCGATGAGCTAGCGAATACGTTGAGCGAACTAACATCGTTAAATCGTGCCGAACACTCGCGCGTCGCTTTGCGTTGCAGACAAGTACTTATTGCTGCCCATCAACCGGCCTATGAGCTGCGTCATAACCAAATGGAGTCTATCTTCTTGTCCGCAGTCGATATGTACGGCCACGATTTCCACCCAGAGAATCTGCAACGCCTCATTTTATCGGAAACATCCATATTTGATATCTTACATGATTTCTTCTATCACACGAATCGTCAAGTGTGCAACGCTGCGCTTGAAGTGTACGTGAGACGTGCTTATACCTCCTACGAACTCACCTGTTTACAACATTTGGAACTGTCTGGTGGTTTGCCGCTTGTGCACTTCCAGTTCTTGCTGCCCACTGCTCATCCCAACAGGTAGAATCTAAAGCACGCTCTTATCTATCTAAATTTCAGATTAATAAATTTCATAACTTTACAGACTTTTCCCACGAATGCTGCAAGAAATCGGCGAGTCCGCAGAGAAAGTACTAGGCTCCTCCTTCATGCGCACCGGCTGCATGGCAGCCTTCGATTCGTTTGATCACTTCGAAATGCATTCGGATGAAATTCTCGATTTGCTGGAGGATTACGCATCACCCGCCTTTGTAAGCGCGAAGGTAAGTGTAACACTAATACCCTACACAACGAAATTAAGCTCGTTCATTCAATATACTTATTGTATACTTTCAGATTCTGGAAGCTGTCGAGGCGGCTGATTCTGTTTCCGATGGACGTCTGAGCACATCCATAAATGTTTCGCTTTCCGATCCAGTAACACGCGCAAATGCTGTGGAAGAGGCCAAGTCAACTGAGCCCATACATATTGTAAGCGTGGCCGTGCGTGATAACGGTGATATGGATGATTTGCAAATGGCGCATATTTTTGGCAGTTACTGTAAACTACACCGTGATGAACTCTTCCAGCGCCGCATACGCCGCATAACATTTGCTGCGCTGAAGAAGTAAGTCGAAAAAGCTTCTGTCCCGTTATGTTTTATTTCATTTCGTTTCCTACTCCTACAGACGCCAATTCCCGAAATTCTTTACATACCGTGCACGCGATAACTTTGAAGAGGATAGAATTTACCGTCATTTAGAGCCGGCGTGTGCTTTCCAACTCGAATTGAATCGCATGAAATCATATGAACTGGAAGCGTTACCGACAGCTAATCAAAAAATGCACCTCTATTTGGGTAAGGCCAAGGGTTCGAAGGGTCAGGAAGTTACCGATTACCGCTTCTTCATACGTTCTATTATTCGGCATTCGGATTTGATCACAAAGGTAGGTGTATTCACGATTCGGATGTTTACTTTTAGTACATTTTATTTGTATAAATATCGAATAGAGTGAATAACCTTATGTATCTGATTATCTTATTTTGCGATCATCAGGAAGCTTCCTTCGAATACTTGCAAAATGAAGGTGAGCGCGTCTTACTCGAATCAATGGACGAGCTGGAAGTGGCTTTCTCACACCCACATGCTAAGCGCACCGATTGTAATCATATTTTCCTCAACTTTGTACCAACTGTTATAATGGATCCAGCGAAAATTGAAGAATCTGTAACCAAGATGATAATGCGTTACGGACCACGCCTTTGGAAGCTGCGTGTATTACAAGCTGAGCTGAAAATGTTAATAAGACAATCACCACAAGCGCCAACACAAGCTATACGCTTATGCATTGCCAATGATTCCGGTTACTTCCTGGATATTGCTATGTACACCGAAGTCACTGACCCCGAGACGGGCATTGTGAGTAGCATCACAAAGTAATCATTTCCTTATGTATTAATCCTTTTTTTTATATATGCTCTTAGATAAAGTTCAAGGCTTACGGCGAGAAGCAAGGCTCACTGCACGGTCACCCAATCTCCACACCGTATATGACTAAAGATTTCCTACAACAGAAACGCTTCCAGGCACAACAAAATGGCACCACTTATGTCTATGATATACCCGATATGTTCCGCCAAATGACGGAGCGCCATTGGAAGGAGTACTCGAAGGCGCGGCCCACAGTAGATATAAGAATTCCGGATAAAATCTTGATTGAATGTATGGAGTTGGTGTTGGATGATGATAACTTGGTGGAAATGCAACGCTTACCTGGCGAAAATAATGTAAGTATAATACAGAATTTAACTTTGGTCTTGTATACTCAACTTTCTCTAACCACAGTGCGGCATGGTGGCATGGCGTATTGTCTTGGCTACACCGGAGTACCCCGAAGGACGTGAAATGATTGTGATTGCCAATGATTTGACATATTTGATTGGATCTTTTGGCATCAAAGAGGATGTGCTATTCAATAAGGCATCGCAATTGGCGCGTAGCAGAAAAGTGCCTAGGGTGAGTAATTTTGTATTTTCGCAAATTTTCAAGAAAATAATATATATATATATATGTGCATGCATATCTACAATTTTTGCTTTTCATTCTTTAACATACAGATTTATATCTCGGTGAACAGTGGTGCACGCATTGGTCTAGCTGAAGAGGTGAAATCCATGTTTAATGTAGCATGGGAAGACCCTGAAGAGCCGGACAAGGGTTTCAAATACTTGTATTTAACCACCGAGGATTACAGTAAAGTGGCCAATTTGAATTCAGTACGCGCTATTCTTATCGAAGATGAAGGCGAGCCCCGTTATAAGATAACCGACATCATTGGCAAAGAAGACGGTTTGGGTGTGGAGAATTTACGTTATGCCGGCTTAATTGCTGGTGAAACGTCACAAGCATACAACGAAATTGTCACCATGTCCATGGTGACATGCCGTACCATTGGTATTGGTTCGTATGTTGTACGTTTGGGTCAACGTGTCATACAAATCGATAATTCACACATCATTCTGACCGGTTATGCAGCGCTGAATAAGGTGAATATAATGGAAAAGACTTTTATCTTTCAAAACAATTATTAAAATTTATTTAATTTTTTTTTTTTGCCATTTCACAGCTCCTTGGTCGCAAAGTATATGCTTCCAATAATCAATTGGGCGGTGTACAAATTATGTACAACAACGGTGTCACACATAAGACTGAAGGTTCGTTAACTAGAAATTTTTGCCTTTTCTCTATGGGTCCATTGTATAATACTATAAATTTTTAATTTAATAGCTTTGGATCTCGACGGTGTGTATACTCTTCTGCAATGGCTTTCATACATTCCAGCATACATCGGTGGCGATTTGCCGATTGTATTGCCAAGTGATCGTATTGATCGTTCAGTAGACTTTATGCCAACGAAGTCACCTTATGACCCCCGATGGATGTTAGGTGGACGTGTGAATCCTGGTAATTACACTTTTATTTATATATATTTTTTAGCACTAGAAGTCAAGAGAATAAAAAAGAAATTCCTTTACAAAAAAAAACTCTTTCTAGAAAAAATTGAAATAACATTTTCTAATTACTAATCCCTCTAGCCAATTCGAGTGAATGGGAGAATGGTTTCTTTGATCGCGACAGTTGGGCTGAAATTATGTCTTCGTGGGCGAAAACCGTTGTAACCGGCCGTGCACGTCTGGGTGGTGTGCCTGTCGGTGTAATTGCTGTTGAAACCCGCACCGTTGAAGTCGAATTACCTGCCGATCCAGCTAATTTAGACTCTGAAGCCAAAGTATGTTTTGTGTTTGCTGGATTGAAAAATAATTTCTTTAAATATATATGTAATTCTTTTGCCTATTTTCCATGCAGACGCTTCAACAAGCCGGACAAGTCTGGTATCCAGATTCTTCATATAAGACAGCGCAAGCTATCAAAGATTTTGGACGCGAAGAATTACCTTTGGTTATCTTTGCTAATTGGCGTGGTTTCTCAGGCGGCATGAAAGATATGTACGAGCAGATTGTCAAATTTGGCGCATACATTGTGGATGGCCTACGTGAATACAAGAAGCCCGTAATCATCTACCTACCGCCGAATGCTGAGTTGCGTGGCGGCGCTTGGGCTGTGCTGGACTCGCTAATCAATCCACGTTATATGGAAACGTATGCAGATCCAGAGGCACGTGGTGGCGTTTTGGAGCCGGAGGGTATTGTTGAAATCAAATACAAAGAGAAAGACTTGTTGAAGACAATACACCGCTTGGATACAACCACCATTGCGGTAAGTTGGAATGTCCCACATTTCCTTTTATTTGAAAGAAAATCTATTTTATTTTTGATTGTGCTCATATTTAGCTCAAAAAAGAGTTGGAAGAACTGATTGCCGCCGGTGATAAGATCAAAGCCGCGCTAATTGAGGAAAAACTCAAGACACGCATTTCACAACTGATGCATGTATACCATACGGTGGCCGTACACTTTGCCGATTTGCATGACACACCCGAACGCATGTTGGAAAAGGAATGCATCAGCGAGATTATACCATGGCGTGATTCTAGACGTTTGCTCTACTGGCGTCTTCGCCGTTTGCTACTGGAAGATGCGCTCATTAAAAAACTTATGAAAGCGCAGGAGAGCCTTTCGGTTGGGCAAGCAAAACAAATGCTGCGTCGTTGGTTGGTCGAAGACCGTGGCGCTATGGATGTAAGTTGAAACGTGTTTTACTTCTTACTTTCTAAAAAATTGTATTACCCCCTACTATGTTATTTATAATTAGGCGTATATCTGGGATAAGAATGAAGAGATGGTGCACTGGTATGAGGAACAGAAACGACCAGATTCAGTTATTGCAAAGAACCTGAACGCTGTGAAACAGGATGCTATCATCTCGAAAATCAATCAAATGCTGGAGGTATTTATTATAAAGAGAAAAATTATTCAGTTGAATTTGTGATCCATATCTATATTTTTCATCTCTATTAGGACTGCCCGGATGTGGCTTTAGATGCTGTTGTAAGCATATGCCAAGGACTGACACCTATGAACCGTGGCGCTGTGGTGCGCACATTAACGCAATTGGAGTTGAATGAGGAGACGACGGCTACAAATACGCAGGGATGATATCGCGTATATTAAAATACTATATATTTATAAGAAATGTAATATAAATTTATAGAGATTTTCTAGCAATCCCCACGAATATTTTGTATGTGCGCACATCACACCACTACTTACTACTCATACTCTTTGTAAATAGCTAAAAGTACGTGAAAAATGAACCACCAGCTCCACTTCATTGCTTTGTCATACAAATATCTGCGTACGTCATACGTTTATACTTTACATTATCTAGTAATTCTAGTTGATAATCACACTTCCTACATAAATTTATATGTACATTCGATTTATTAAATATTGAATATATGTTATATTTATATATTTAATATAAGCTATGTATGCATGTTATTTTCGAAGACCTTTTTATTATGAGTTTCCTGTGCATATATATTTAAGAAAACATGAAAAGATAAAAGGAGTAGAACAAAGCAAATAAAAAAACAGCACAATACTAGTTAAAATTTAAATAATTATTTTATATAAAAGGGGTGTTCTCAAACCATGTTTGATATATACATACATAACTTAATACAGTGTAGCTAATAGCATATTTTTTTGAATTATGAAAATGTACAAAAAAAAAAAGAAGAAAATAATGAAAACAAATTATTAAATAAAAACATTATGTTAGTAATATAAATCATATTGAATAAACATACAAACATACTATGTTTTTTAGTTTTGTGAAATATGTAAAATATCGAACAAAATGGATATTTCTATTGTAAGTTTATGAAACTAATGTAATATCCACAAATACCAACCAAAATTACTATGTAAAGTCCCAGGCTAATAAACATTTAATAAATGAAAATAAAAATTAATTTAAAATTTTATTATTTTTTTTCGTAATGCATTTAAAACCAAATTGGATAGTGAGTGGTACATATAGTTCTGATGCTCTTGACAACAAAATTTAGTAATGATATCTCATCCGCCAGGAATGAGTTGTTTCAATAGATAAGTACGCACAACTAATTCATAAAAGTCGAAATTCATAACTTCAAAATCATTTTATTTGCCATAAACCAGTTCAAAGAGTACATCTCTAACGACTACAACAAAATTTTGAAATTATTCCTCCTTAACTGGAAAAATATCGTTTTGCCTGGTGCATGATGTTCGGCTCGCTTACACAGCGTAACTCTTTTTTTATAAGATATAAAATTATTTAAACAATTTTCAAAATTAGCTGATTTCACCAAAGCTTTATATTGAAATTTGTTTAAATAATCTCTTATGTCATCTTATTGAATGCTGTAAAGAAATTTAACTCGCTTAGATGTTAAGTTTAATAATTACAGACTTTTGTTGATGATGTGCTAAGATTCACCAATTAAAGTTCCGTTTACTAAGTCAGAATTAATCCTAACTTGTAATCTAAACCTTACCGAATACATTTCGGGCACCTACATAAAGCAAACGCCCACAGGCCTTTTAAAAAATACGAAAAAATAATTCTTTTGGAGTTTTTGAATTTTTTTTTATTAATTTCTTTGCGTATTGTAATATTAGGCCATCTAAAAAAAAAAACACTCGTGAACCCAAAAACTAATTTGTTTTCTTTAAGTTTCGCTTTGCATAAAAAAAAATTAATTTAACTTCAGTTCAAGGAATCCAATGTATTTGTCATCCAGTTCGGCTCCGCCGCTGCAATCTTCTCAATAATTGAATTTACTTGATAGCATAACGACTGTATTTGACGATCCCATTGTGGCAGTACCTCACGACTTTCAAAGTGAACAAGACCTGATATTTGATCGATATGACCATTCATACGCTCCTCGGTGATCATTTGTGAAGCGATATTTTCAGCCTTTGCTGCTGGTATATCCAACAGGGCACCCAGCTCTTCAAATGTAATATTATTATATAATTTACTAGCAGAAAGCAAGTTATGTTCAAAAACAGCACGATCAAGTATAGATGAACCATCAACAGTGATAGCTTTTTGATGTGGTTGCAAAAGCGCCTCAAATTCCTTCAACTCTGAACGTCTAATTATACGATCTAAATACATTTTCTCAAGTATAGCATAAGCTGGTAGTTGTTGACAACGTTCATCTTTAAAGAGTGTCGCAAGCATACGAGACCGTTGCTGACCGGCAGATGCTAGTACGGTACAAATTAGAGCACTTCTTAACGCATCCATGCGATCGCTTTCGCTCATCGTTTTGCGATAAGATAGTTCGTTGTAACGTTGTGCTGCCTCGATAAATTTCCGACGATAATCTAACACATGGGCATAGCATTTTTTGTAGAGCACCTATAGTAGGATAGTAAAGAAATAGTGGTTCTTAAATAGAAATTATTCAAGAGTGAAATACGCACCTGTAACTCTTCATCGGTAGTTTCTGTTTGCAATAAAGATGCACGATTTATATAAAATTCAGCTTGTGCAGAGTCATCATCTTTCAAGTATAGACTGGCTATTTTTAAATATGTCCTTAATTTATAACCAACTGGATATTGCTTTTGACCCGTCTCCAATGGTATGCCAACCAACACATTTGCGGCATCTCGCCAAAGTTGATTGCGCTCATAAATATCAGCTAAATGTTGACGAATACCAGCCACTTGTTCCTCAAAGGATATTACACGAGGCTGAACTTTCTCGAGTGTAAAATGTGAGACTTGTCGCGAAATGTCATCGGATAATTTACACAGTGAGTTGCTGACATCGTTAAGAATTTGCCTTGAAATCACCAAGCTCACGTGTTCATTAACTATAGCTTCCACGAATAGCTTAAGAGTGTCCACCAATTCATTCCCTGTATTATTGAGTACCATTACCAACAACTGCCGGTACTTATCTGCCTGTTCTTTGTGTGTGCCAGAAAAGTTTGCCAACGCCATAAGCTGTGTACGCAGAGCGCTTGTGCCAATAGACATTTCGAAAGTATTATTTTTGAATACTGGAATTCAACTAATTGTTTCAAAATAAATTGGCAAATTAATCCTTCAATCCTTGTTTCTGCAACTTTGTGTTATCATGCAATTTCTTTACCGACCGACTAATAACAAGATTGCCACTTAGGAAGGCAGTTTGTTTCTGAATAAATGTTACCAGAAAAAAGAAAAGAGAGATTTTTATTTTGGAGTTGTCATTCCCCTTACATTTTTAATTCAATAAATATATTATAATAACAAAAATATTTAAATGAAATATTGCATATATGTTTCATATTAGCTTAAAATTCAAAAGTTTGCTGATACATTCAAAAGTAAATGACTACATTAAAATTAAAAGAAGAATTGACAGCCACATTGTGATTTCCGAGGAAGAAGAAGCATATTGTTTTTGTGTACTTTTTTATTTGAAGCTTTATTCACAACGTCAATTATCCATTCCTCACTGGAGTGCATATACTTTTTAATCAGCAGGTGTTATATGTAGTGAAAATTTTCCAATCAGTTTGATTTAGTGATACCTTTTAAAGCATATTTTGAAAAAAAAAAAAAGACCAAACTAAAAAATCAGTGAAGTTAAAATAAATAATTGTGTAAGTGTTTGGCGGATGTACGCTTGGAATGGATTGTATTTATTGAAAAATGGATCCATATTTGACGTATATTATTTGGATGACCAATGGCAATATTTGAGAGACCCTTCGGTTATAGACACAAACTCGATGACACCCAGACGATAATTTGCGTAATTGAGACAGCACAGGAAGTTAACGGCCACACGGTAATTATAAAAACCTTTTATTCCACGACTTATAACTATAGGATAATAGTACCATTATCTGTATTTTTGTAAACATGTATGTACAAGTGTAGGAAAGATGAAAAATCAATAAGATGTGGCGCCGTGAGGACAACTTTAAAGGTGGTGGGGACAAAGGGACACAAACCAACAGCAAAATTGAAAATATTGCATACAATTATACATACGCACAAAAAAAAATACTGAGGAAATTAAAATTCTTTCATTTTTTTCATTTTATTTCAGGAGTATTTATTGCGTTTGCAGCGTGGCGCCCATAAAGAAAATTGCTGGAAGATTTTGCGTCGTTATAATGACTTTGCCGAGTTGCACAAATGCCTCTGCATTTCAGGTATCGATTTGCCCATGCCAGGCAAGAGGCTTTTTGGTAATATGCGACCAGACTTTATAGCTGAAAGAAGGCAAGCATTACAGGTTTATATAAATACAGTACTAATGAATCCCATATTGGCATCATCATTGCCGGCCAAACGGTTCGTCGATCCGGACAGTTATTCACAATCCTTTCATGGTGAGTTCAATAGTTTACATCTACCTACTGTAACATATGTGTGTATGTATATATATTCATGTGTAATATGCTTGCCCCTTTTATATCAGTCACTAGTGTGTCATTAAGTTTAATTGTTTATAGTATATTCATATGTGTATATACATATGTATTGACACATTAGAGTAATATGAGGCGCACCCAATCCCTTATGATTGTTGTATGTACTCACATTTATTCATACATACTATATCCGGTCCGTATATGACTATATATATATATATATATATATATATATATATATATATGTACCTACATACATTTTATGAGCTATTTAAAAATTATACATATTAGCCAAAGCTATCATTACACTTTGGGGTATGGTTAATTTCACATATTGTCACATTATCTACACTTATCTGCGTACACACAAACCTATGTATGGACGTATGTATGACCATGTGAGTGAGAATATTATATTGTATTTTTGAGGAGGCCTCTGTGTCAACACAAACACGTCATTGTGTGCCGCCATACACATTATGTCCTTTCTATGCGCATCTGTTGCTTTCTATAGAAATGTATTTGTTTATGTGTCATTGATTCAATCCTTTAACGTTGGTTTGAAACATAAAAGTTTTTTTTTTTTTTAACAAATGGAAATTAACTATTCATGACGGTCTCTAAAAGTTTAGTATCGTTTGAATAGTAATAAAAATTGATAGTTATGAAAAAATCATAAATTTAAATTCATAATAACTGTAAAATTAGCTTAATTTCGCCATAGAGCTGAGTGCTGATAATAATTTAAAAAAGAAAAACATTTTCAATTGCTTTTTCGCATCTTCCTACCTATAGATCAAGCTGTGCAAAATGCTATGCTATGTCTGCGTAGTGAGGGTATATGGATATTGGGCAGCACCCTCGGGGCAATAGGATGGCGTTTACGAAAGCACTACTTCAAGGTGTCACCAAAACCACCGGAAAAGACTGGAAACAAGCTGCTTGTGAAAAGTGGCTCACAAACACATCAGGGCAAACACTTTGCTTCCTCGAGTAGTAATGGCGGTGGCGGTGGTGGTAGTAGCAGTGGATCTATAGATGGTGGTAGCTTAGATCCATCAGAGCTCGTGTTGGAATGGATCGAATACGGACCGGATAAATATGTAGATGACAAAGAGATGGGTGGCATATTAAAGAGTCTGATGGGCTTACAACATCCGCATATCGAGACAGTTGTGTATGCGGCACACAACGAGAACGGCTGTATTGCCGTAAGAAGGTGTGTATTGAACACGTGACTAAATGCTATATTAATATCTATTCATATGAATTCATGTATTATCAGATTTTACAAGCAAGGCACATTGAAAGACATACTTTGTATGGCTACCCCAAAAAATCCATTCCTTAGTAAATACGGCAACCCAAAGGGTCGAACTGCATTAACAATGAAACAAGTAGCGATCTATGGACGTCAAATACTGGAGGCTTTAATATTTATACATTCAAAAGGATATCCATATGGTATGCATGAATAATCTCTTTATATACATATGTATGTAAATATGTGATTTTATGATTTTTTTTTATTTTTTAAACGCTACTAGGTCACTTACACGCTGGAAATATTGTGATTGTTGATGATTGCGTTAAATTATTGGACATCGAGAACTATATATTGGGCGTGCCCGCTTTTTATCGGCCATTCTTTGTGCAACACAGCAAAATACATTCAGTCGAGGCGATTGATGTTTATAGTTTTGGACATGTTCTATTCGAAATGGCAATGGGATATCCTTTGCAAGAATCTGTAGCGCGTCAAATTAATGAATGTCCGGAAACTTTAAGTGAGTAAACAAAAAACTGGTTTGTAACACAATAAGGCAAAGTACATACATATGTGTATATGTATGCATGTGTACTTATTTATTTAACTACCGTTTTTCTTTAACAGAGAACTTATTGGAGAGCATTTTGTCAAAAGAGGCAGTTAGGGCTGGCCTACCAACGCTACAACAACTCATTAGTCATCAATTCTTTGCGCAGCATGCTAGCAGCGCTGCTGGCGGGTTTAGTTGTTGCAATGAAGATTCAAGGAGAACACATTTTAAACTATCGCTTAACGCTAAAGAGTTCTTAAAACAATCGGCACAAAAAGCAGAGTTAAGATTAAGAGATGAACAAAAATCGGTTAAGAATCAAAAGCGTATTGTGCGTGTGCAGGAAATGATGAGTTCGGAGGAAGAAAAACGAAAATCAAAACAAAGAGCGGTAAGTTTTTTTCTCCTTCTTCTACATATCATGCGTTGAGAGTAATTAAACGCTTGCAATGGTATTAAGAAAGAAAAATAGTTATCCGTACAAACCGAATTTGATTTCGGGGAATATTATGGGAGTAACAGTACTTAGCCGGATAAAATTCTGAGTCGTATCAGCACGAAGAACCCACTGTCGCAGGAACTAAAGGATTTTAGTCGCCTTTTACCACTGACATACCACCGCTATTATGGCAAAACTCTAGAGCCGTAACAAAATACTCAAAGCGCTAGCCGGCAGCACCTGGGGTAAAGACAAGGAAACTTTGCTGGCTACTTATAAAGCAATTGGCCGGCCGGTCGTAAACTATGCTGCTCCGATCTGGACGCCGGGGACGAACGGGACGCAGATGAAGAAGCTACAGGCTTGCCAAAACAACGCCCTCAGGACCGCGACAGGAAACCTCCTGATGTCGCCGGAGCATCACTTGCACAGGGAAGCATCTATGCTACGAGTTAAGGAGCATAATGCTTTGCTGTGCAAGCAGTTCCTACTGGGATGCTACCACAGGGAGCACCCCAGTAGGCACTTAATAGAGGCTGAACCTCCACCTAGGCACATCAAGAAGGGAGTACTAGACTTCAAAGACACGATCCAGCAACATACACAACAACCGCTGGACAGGACGGCGTATCGACAGGCACTGAACGCCATTCACCAGGAGTCAGTTAACACCTTCATGAACTCCCTTCCAGTGAATGGCGTACTCGGAGAAATACCACCACCCATAGCAGACAACGAGCTCGAGCTGTCTCGAGAGACCCGCGTGACCCTGACACAACTCAGGTCTGGATATTGTAGCAGGTTAAACTCCTACCTATCCAGACTAGACCCCAGCATACCTAACGTATGCCCGGCATGTGGAGAGTCCCCGCACGACACTAACCACCTCTTCACATGCCCCCTCAAACCTACTCATCTAACCCCCCTCTCCCTTTGGTCCAACCCCGTCGAAACAGCTCGTTTCCTGGGCCTACCTTTAGATGACCTCGACGACTTAGACTAATCAAGCCTGTGCCTAAGCGGGGTTAGCGAACCGCTACAACAACAACAACAACAACAACAACAACAACGGAATAACAAATTTAACTTTTGTTGCTGCTTATATCATATATGTATGCATTATGCTCATGAAATGTTTGTTATTTTAATATTAGTATTTTTTTGCAATACAATATCTAAATATGTTATTGTTTTTTTTTTTTTCTTAATAGAAACTTGAGCATAAACAGTCAAAACTGAAACAACAAGTCTCACTGCAAGCAGCAGGCAATGGACGTCTATCACTTTCGGCGGCTAGCGGTTCTGCAGCGCTCAGCACATTCGCTGGCAGCAGTATCGCACCATTTGAACGCACAGATAGTGTTTTGAGTATGAATATGCCAAAAGATTTGGTTGCAGGGTCATCAACATTTCATACGGACGTAAAATGTGAGTACAAGAGATTTGAATGTTTACTGAAATATCTAATTGCCCTATTCACACAGCCCCACCGCCTACGCCATTCGTGCATCAGCATACACAAGAACAACAACAAGAACAGCCGCAACAACATTCAGCCACCAAACAAAAAACACTACTGGCGAATGTCGAGCGACAAGCATCGTCACCAAATATTTCCACAGATACTGATGAGCATAGTGGTGATCCTACGCGTTCGGCACTCTTAGAATCAATTTGTAAATTTAATCGTGGTTCGTTGCGAAAAGTGCGCTCTAACGATTAGAATATGCTACATACACTACATATATGTATATATAAATACGCTAACAGAAAGGGAAAGTTTATAACCAACTAAACATATGTACGTGTATGTATGTATGTCAAGAGTGGTGGGAAGGAACTTTGCAAATTGTTCCTTTTCATATCATTTCATGCACAAGAATTCCAGCCAAATTCAATCACCACCTCCAGATGAAAGCTTTTATAATATGATAACACACTTTCTAAAATGCAGCATCTTCTAAATTTAAAAATAAACAAACATAAGAAGAAAATACTGAGAAATAGTAGTCGATATATATATATGAATTTTACACGTACATACGTATTAATATCGAAATTGATGTAACCGTACATACATACATAGTATTTACTAATTAGCACAAACAAAAGTGTATGCAAATTAGCATTAATCACCTGTAACTCACCAAATATGTAAACAAAAACATAATACAATAGTAAAATTCGTATATAAATATGTATAAGTGTGTATGTACCTACATTAAATGTGATGTTGTGTTGTAGTCCATAGTCTTTATAAACGGAAAATTTTTGCACAATTTAACAAAAAGAGCCATAGCATTATATGAATGTATGCATATTCAATTCTAGTGATTTGTGTTAAAGTTTTATATAAAAATGCACTGTAATTATTAAAAAAAAAGAAACTCAGTGTTAAGCCTGTTATTTTATTTTTTTATTTTTACATAGTTTACACATACATACAGAATTGGTTTTTCTTTTTAAATATGTATATTGCATAGGCTCAAAAATGTTTGCTTAAAATATCAAATACTCCGATTGGAAATACCAACTACAGCCAGACCCTTCTCTACCTGGTCTTTCCAACGAAGTTAAGGTCTTCCTCTTCCTCTGCTTCCACCGGCGGGTACTGCATCGAAAACTTTCATTGCTGGAGTATTCGCATCCATCCGGACCACATGACCTAGCCAACGTAGCCGCTGCTGCTTGATTCGCTGAACTATATCAATGTCGCCGTTCATCGTTCCATCGCCTGCGGTACTCGCCGTTGCCAACGCGCAAAGAACCATAACTCTTACGCAAAACCTTGCTCTCGAAAACTCCTAAGGACAACTCATCAGATGTTGTTATTGTTCATGCTTCCGCACGACGCGATTGTTGAAGCCAATAATGTCAATATCATCATACATATATGTATGTAAATCAGGCAAAAAATGAAAATAAACTCTGATGTGATTTTGCAATTATTATTTTAACAACTTTATTTTGTATTGCTTGATGTGCATATTTTTCACTGCTAATATTTGTTGAAACTGAAAAATTATACAAGAATTTATGCCTAAATCTGTCACAACATTAAACAAAAAGAAAAAAAATAGTTCCTTTTATAATTAAAAAAACATGATTGATTTTATTAAAAGAATTGTGTTTTTATTGTTTGATTTTTTTTTATTTTTCCACTTATCATGATAAATATCGTATCACTTTCTGAACAATTCGTGATGGGCCCTTTGTAATGGAGCAATTATTCGACAAAAAAAAAACTAAAAATTTTAATTTTTCATAATTTATTACAATGGTTGAATTTGTTTATTTTTATTCACATTTTTTCATTACATATTTTAAAGGTGCCTCATCGCTGCTTTTTTGTTTTTGTGGTAGCACAAATAAATTTTAAATATGAGATTCTTTTCATACTTTAAAGTGAGTTGTTGTTCATTTTAACTTTTTTTTCCATATAATGTTTTCCCGACAAATGGAGCAACTTATAGTTCATACTAAAACGCTTCCGAATAGCCGATGGATCAAAATATGAAGCCTTTATGTCGTTTCAGAAATACATTTAAAGGGGACGGCCGCAATTAGAAACAATAACTTTTTTTTATTTAAATAAATTTATTATTAATAACTTTTTTTGGTGCTGGTCCGAGCAGAACTCGAACCCAGTCCTTCCAAATTGCCAACCAATCGCCACATTGGGCTACATCTTTCAAGCGAAGCTTTACATTCCGAAGCAGCGCATTTTTAAGAAATTTTCAATATATGTATGTATATTTGCGCTAACTATTTATTTTTTTTTTTATTTTTTTTTTTCGTTGTATTCTTTCTTTTATATGTATTTTTTAGTATAGATTTCAATCATTCCAAACAAAGGCTTAGCACTTTTAAGATAGTCTTATTAAGATAAAGCACAAAATGTCCAGTAAATAGCATGCTTTAGCCATTTATATGTATTTAATCACACGGCATCCACTATAATTTACTAACACACACCTGTAAAACTATCTTCTAGGTACCTTCATTGTGTAAATTAGAAAAGAAAATTACTTAAAACAAGGCACACTAAAAAGCACACATTGTATACTATACATACTTATCTACAAAAGTATAACATAATTACATCTAATTGTAAGGAAAAAATTTAGACACCTAGCAAATATCTTTCACAAAAATTTTATATAATTTTCTTTTTTATATAAACCCATTCAGTTCCCGCAACACGTAGTAGACGTTCTTGAGTCTTTAGTCCATAGATAATTCAAACATTTTTTCAAACTTCCATTTTTTTACAAACTAACACTCCTCAATGTTTCTTTAATATCTACTCTAGGATTAACATTACTACTCTTTATCGTTAGACTATGCGAAAGCTCAAAAAACACAACATTATGCGTAATGTGCTCCATCGGTTTTTTGTTTCGTTTCGAAACGAAATGAATTGTCTGTTAATGATTTAACATTGTCTCTTAACGATTTAAAATTATCTGTTCAGGTTTTAACTTTGTCTGTTAACGATTTAACATTGTCCCTGTTAACGATTTAACATTGTCTGTTAACGATTTAACATTGTCTGTTAACGATTTTACACTATCTTTTAACGATTTAACATTGTCAGTTATCGATTTAAGATTATCTGTTAAGGATCTAACATTGTCTGTTAACGATTTAACTTTGTCTGTTAACGATATAACACTGTCTGTTAAAGATCTAACATTGTCTGTTAACGATATAAGAGTAACGACAGCATTTCATTTCGGGTAAAAACGAAATGTAATTTATTTTGATAACTGCTTTGACGATAATTTTTCCAAATATTTCAACCGAATCGAATGAATTTTTTTCTTAACGTCAAATTTATAGTTACGATGTAGCCTTTAACGAAGCATAAAGGACCTGATTTTAGCCCTAATTATGAGAAGTTAGATTGATTTGACTATTACTTAAACAGTGATACGTTGTAGGTAGGCCAGAAGTAGACTTCTTACCAGTGAGCGCACTTACCCATTTATTTGCACTTTTTAGCTTTATGAAATTATTACTCTTCATAATATACATAACTTGAAACAAAAAAGCTTTCCTATTGCACTATTGGTATTTTAAGAAGTTTGAACTTAAACAAATTTATAATATTAACTAATTTTTACTAACTTAACTTGCACTGAAACAACAAATTACCAATTATAGCAACAAAAAAAAATTATTGCAAAAAAAATGAAAAGGATTTACTTGAAAATTACTATCTACTACTATCCGAAATTACAATCACGATTTCCAATCGTTCAATCAACACATTTCAGTTCACCAATGTGCCAACACTGTTAAAATTTATATGTAGTACGTATGCATAGTACTCGTCTTACCCCGAACGTCCACAATCAAAAAACTTTCTCTGCAGTTCGGCATGCACTTATGAATTTATTAAACAAAAAAAAAAACAGAAAATATATAAATGAAAATTTTAAAAATATATATAAATATTAGCGTATATGTATATGTGTGTACTCTTTAAGGCAAGTCCTATACAAAAACGAAACAAAAAGATTCAACAAGATATTTAAAAAAATATTAATAAATAAAAATTAATTATTAGCTAAATATAGAAAAAAAAATTATGAATACACAAAAAATACTGCATATTTAAGAATTCAAATTGAAAAACAAATTAAATATACTTAATAATATTTACCACTTTGTGCGTACTCGTACTTATGGCAAAAATTAAGTATCAATAAATATGCGTGTAGTAAATGGTGTGGAATAGTTATTAATTTTCACAAAATCCTTATTATACATATATAAAGTTAATACATAAATTTGTGTGATGTGTACTTTTTAATTAACTGGACTTACCGTTGCTTGTCAGGCGTGATTGCTTGCGAAAGAGTCTTATTTTGTTAAATTAAATTTTATATAACAGAAATATTTTCATAAATGTTGTAATGTTGTAATAGTTGTAGTAGTTGTTGTTTTTGATGTCCTTATGTAATAAATTAATGCATACATATATATTTGTATGTATTTATATAAGTACGTAAATTTTTATGTTTGTAATTTATGAGTAAGTTTATATATATACATATATTATATATATAAATTTTGATAGTCTTCTGTATTATCTTAAACAATATGTTATGTATATGTATGTATGCAAAACCACATACTTATATAGTATAGTATATTTAACACATACTAATGTAAACATATTCGATAACATACATACATATTATACTATATATATCATCTTAGGATATATACATATAAACATACATAAATAATATTTCTTTACAAAACTATCGTAAATGGATTTTTGATTGTGTATATGTATACTATATAAAAGTAAAAACGTAAATAAATGCAAAAAACCAAAAAATAAAATAAAAAATATTGCAACACACAAACAGCGGTTGACTATTTTAAAAAACAACAGTAAGTTTACAAGTTTATATTATATATTGATGAGTGCATAAGTTCGTGCCCGATTCCGCTGGATGCCGTTCGAATCGTTTGAGAGTGGCGCTCGTGAAAGAAATATATACATATTAAATATCGTTGGAAAGGTGACAGTCCGAACTGTAAATCAAGCNAAAAGCGCTTTCTTCAAAAAATTTCAATTTTAGTTTGCACTTGAAATCGGGCAGGAACTTATGCAATCATCCAATATCTCCTACTTCTTCCTTACTGGCGTAGACACAGTTGACGCGATTATGGCCTAGTTAACACTATCTCTTCCTTCTTTTGTTTGGCCAAGTTTACTTATGTCCTTATCCATCTGACCTTTTGAATGGAGTGAAGGTCTTCCTCTTCCTCTGCTTCCACCGGCGGGTACTGCTGGAGTATTCCAGCATATGACCATAGCCGCTGTCTCTTAATTCGAATTCGCCTAGCAATGTCAATGCCACCGTATATCTCGTACATACAACGCACCAGTTCATTCTTGTTGGTGTTGATGTTGGTTCCTAGATAGGCGAAGTTATCTGCGACCTCAAAGTTATGACTGTCAACAGTAACCTGTGAGTCGAGTCAAGAAGGGGATGACTGTTTGTTTGATGACAGGAGATATTTCGTCTTGCCCTCGTTCACTACCCGACCCATTCGCGTTGATTCTTCATCAAGTCTACAGAAAGCAGAACTCACGGCACGGTTGTTGAGGCCAATAATGTCAATACAATCGGCGTACGTCAGCAGTTGTACACTCTTATAGAAGATTTTGCTTTTTCAATTCAGCCCTTCAGCTCTAATTATTTTCTCCAGCAATAAATTAACGAACTCATAGGATGAGAAATGGCTTTGTGTGAAACCTCATTTGTTCTTAAACGATTCGATGAAGACCTTCCCGATTGTGATAGAATCCTTGGTGTTGCTTAACGTCAGTTTACGTAGCCTCATAGGTTTTGTGACATAGTGGCGTAGGGGCAACTCTTTTCACTGGTGTTTTCCAAAATTTAGCGCATGGGGAATACGTGGTCAATGATGCATATAACAAATCAGTATATATACATATGTACATTTGTATACAATTGACGCTTTGCAACTACTGAAGTGAATTGCGGCCGAGTTCCTCCTTGAATTTGTGGTTTTACGTCTTGATGTTTATTCAAAACATGGATAGGCCGCCTCCGTACGGCTGATAGTTTTCTTATGAGGAGACTCGATTTCATGTAAGAGATACACTCGAAGAGGTTGACATTCCCTGCCTAGAGGCGACTGCAATTAGAAAATTTTACTTAATTTTTTACATCCTACCCAAAAATAAAAGGGTGCTGCTTCCAGACATTCCAAAACTTTCGACTATATGAAAATGATTGTGGAGGAATTTTTAGGGAATATATAAGTACATGTGAAGACGTAACTTAGACTTCCCACTGCGGGTTAAAGGTTCAAAAATTTACCAGCGGTAAGGCATGCCTGTCGTAACAGGCGACTAAATACCAATAGTTCCCGCGACAGTCGGGTCTTTATATGCGTTTACAACAACAACAACAACAACAACATGTACCTAAAACTTCATTTTCTTGATTCTCATCTAAATTTCTTCGCGGAAAACTTGTGAGGGAAAGATTCCACTACGAAATAAAAACAGTGAAAGAACAATTTAAAGAAAAACCAAAAGCAGGTATGTTAGAGTAACAGTTTGGCTAAACATAGTTTAGGTTTTAGATCAACCATTTAGCCTGCAGATGGCAGTTAGTTAAAAAATATAGGACTTTTAACTTTTTTTTTTTGTACAGCTGGCGCCTTCTACATTGACTACAACCCAAATTGAAAAGCAAAAGGAAAAACCGTCACAAAGGTACACAAGATATTTGCTTAGCAACGCTGCCCAAGAATTACCTAGCCTTCTGGGTTGAATTGTCTCTGTCGAGTTTGTTGTGAATTGTATAAAAATTAACAGTACAATTTAACATCACTGTTTACGACTACCTACACACAATACGACGACTCTTCGAACTTCATTCTAAATACAAATGCCAACAAACATTAACCAGAACATCGCTTATGCTGCAACTACTCATTTTACTTACCTTCCGTCCATAACTGCCGACTAGAAGAGCGAGATACATACACGAGTTTTCGACGCTACTGAGAGCGGCGAAATGTTGCCAGCTGCCACGGTGACAACTTTGTGTTTACATGGCGCTCTCATAAGATAGGTTACTATGGACGGAAGGTATGTAAGAGGGGTAGTTGCAGCATTAAACATCCTTGAAGTGCACACGCCCATACTCGGCCAAATTTCAACTAACGCAAATAATTGCGGTCGAAACTAGAAAAACAAAAGGAAAACCCTTCATAAAAATTGCTCAAGATTTTTCGCTTAGCAACGCTTTAAAGGAATGACCTAGCCTTAACGATTGAATTGTATTTTGAATAAGATTCGTTTTTGGCCTATTTAATATGTGAAGAGGAAACAAATGTTATTATATATCTACATATATACATACCTATATACAATTAGAAAATTTAATTTAATTTTTTATTTCAATTAATTTTCAATAATTTTTGGATGTATGTCGGACCAGGACTTGAACCCTGGCGTACCGAATGGCAGTACGCACTGCTAACCACTCGGCTACCGCAGTCGCCAAAATTATAAAAAATATGCAGCCTAAATTTTTGGCAATAATTTTTTTACGAATATTAGTGCTCATTTGCACAAAAAAACACATTATTGAATTTTTTCCAAAAAACTTAACTTTTTTTTAGTATTTATTAACTTTCTTTAAATATTGAAAAAATATACATATATATTTTTGAAAATGTACATAGAAATTTCAAGGTCTATAGAATACAAGGTTACGACAACCGTTAACGTCATCGAACTTCTTCATTTATATGTACATACAGTGGGCTTGGCTTGATACTTATAACATAAAAAAACTAATTTTCTTTAAAAAAATGTATATGTATGTGAGCATAATAACATAGATCTGAGAAAATTTTTCTAATACAGCCAAAATAACAAAATATACCATATTCTTTTGGTACTTACCGCCACAGTCATAGATTTGGTGATTTTTCTGACTAAAGAAATTACCCAAAAGTTAGCGAACAACAAAGTATTGTGCAAGATGTAGCTCTTGTAGCGTTTCTTCATAAAGCCAGGACCTACTGCGATGACGCCAATGAATGACGAATGACTTATAATTTTTTAATATATATTTAATAATATAAATATTCAAGCAGTACTACCTTCTAGCATACACGGTGTGTCCCAAAAATAACCGAACTTTATATTTACATCATACAACATACAGCGCCATCTATTGAAAATTTGCAACATTAAAAATATACATTCATCCTCTTTCAAACGCACCTAACATCATGTAAGTCGGATGATAGATGTAAAAGTGTCAGCCATTTCAATAAAACCAAAACTGTGCTAATGGTTCAAAAATAAAATGGAACAAAGAGCAAATATAAGATTTTGTGCCAAACTTGAAAAAAAAAAA